AAAAAAAAAAAAAGACAAAAACCAACCAAACAAACAAAAAACAAAATCAGGGAATCTTAACTAGACTAAGAAAAAAGAGAGAAGACTCAAATAAATAAAGTTAGAAATTCAAAAAGGGAATTAACAACTGAGACCTCAGAAATATGAAGTATTATAAGAGACTACAATGAGCAATTATACACCAACAAATTGGGAAGTCTAAAAGAAATGGATAAATTCCTAAATGCATACAACATATCAAGATTGATCTATGACAAAATAGAAAACCTCAATGGACCAATGATGACTAATGAGGTCAAAGTCGTAATGTCCAGTTGATACAGCTTTATTGTTTTGGAAGGACCATGTGTTCTTTACTGAATCACCTCTACTGCTTTGTCAGGAATCTTGTGTCTACAAAGTGTGGCTCCATTTCTAGATTCTACTCTGTCATTGATTTAATTCTCTATTTCTCTGTCTTTATACTTACATTATACTTCTTTGATTACTGTAGCATTATTCATAATAAATCTTGTAATCAGGTAGCATCAGCATTTCAATGTTTTCCTTTTTTCAACTTTGTTTTGGCTATTTTAGATTTTTTTCTATTTCTTATGAGTTTTATAATGATCTAGTTAAATTCTATGAAAAATACTTACTGACATTTTGATTGAGATTTCATTGAATCTAAGATTATTTTGAGGAAAACTGACATCTTAACGATGTTATATTCTTTGACCTTGGAGCAAAAGTATATCCTTTATTCTCCAGAGAAGCAGAACAAATAAAAAGTGTGTGTGTGTGTGTGTTTATAAAGAGATTTATTTTAAAGAGATTTCTTTCTCACATGATTATGGAGGTTGACAAATTCAAAATTTGCATGGTGGACCAGTAGACTGGAGAGCCAGGAAAGGCAATGCTGCAATTTCAGCCTCCAAGCCACCTACTGTAGAAGCAGAAAGAGCCTGTGTTACAGATGAAGTCTGAAGGCAGTCAGCTATAGAGTTTTATCTTGCTTGTGTCTTTATGTTTTGTTCAGGCATTCAACTAATTGGATGAAGGGCACTTTCACTAAAGCAATCTGCTTTCCTTAGTCTACCCACTTACATGTTAATCTCATGCAAAACATGCTCACAGAAACATCCAGAATAATGTTTCACAAAGTATCTGGGGACCCTGTGACTCAGCCAAGCTGACACATAAAAGTAACAATAAGACTCTCCATATGATTAGGGCTTTGCAATGTTTCATAATTTTTGGTGTACAGGCATTATATATATTTTGCCAAACTTATTTCTAAGCATTTGGAGTTTTTGATGCTACTTTTTTTTTTTTTTTTTTTTTTTTTTTTTTTTTTTTGAGTTCCAATAGTTTGGTTGTAGCATATACAAATGCATTTAACTTTTTATGTATTGATCTTGTGTACAGAAAATGTATTTATACTGCTACCTTTGATGTCTGATTTATTAAATCACTATGAAGTGATTTTTTTTTTGGTAGGTTCCATCAGGTACACATAGACAATCATGTAGTCTTCATAACATATAAAGACAGTTTCATTTCTTCCTTTCCAATATGGATTCATTTAATTTCTGAGTAATTTCAGCATAATCCCATTTCTATGTTTTTAAATAATTCTATAAATGGATTTTCAGTTAGTGTTCTTAAGCAAGCAATGTGGATATCCAGTTTATTTACCTAAACTTTAAACTGTGTGAGTAGGGCAGGAATTTATTTTCTTTTTATTTAGAGTCCACCATATTTCTCTGTATACAGTAGGTACTCAATACATAGATTATGATTAATCAGTTTAATAATTAGTGTGCAGAATACAAATGAGGGAATAAATCAGTTAGAGTTTGTTAAACTAAAGATAAGCTACATTTTTGTTCCTATTGAGAGCCATTTTTTAAAACCATCATTGGTAGGAAGCATTTATTCTGTCATTTGTTTGACTGAGTTTACAAAACTTCAAAACTGAAGAAATAATACATTTTATCCTACTTTGTTCTTCAGTTGCGTGTACAATATCCACCAATAATTGAAAAGCAACAACTATAACTCAAACTCTTCATATACTGAGCTATACTCTATAGTGTTTAAGAACACAGATCTCGATAATATGCTTGGATTCATATTTGGGGCAAGTTAACCTCCATGTACCTCAATTTTCCCATCTATAAAATTGGGATAACAGTACAAATTGCACGTTTAAATAGAGACTTTTGTGTTCTGGCACTAGGATGATAGAAAAAATTCTAAAAAATATAAATATGTATTTTTCCAAACTGAAGACTTAGTAACATATTTGTTTGCTATAAGAAGAACTGATTTAATCCTCTTTTCTATTTCTCTATGACCTATACATCTTTCGAAATATATAGATCCAATTTCTTTAGGATGGAAGTCATTTTGTCACAAAGGAAGACAATAATCAATAAATATATGCAAATTTGAGACATGTTGTTTTTAAATACATGCAAATTTGAGAAATGTTGTTTTTTAAAAAACCTTAAAACTTTAACTTCCTTAAAAAAGTAAGACAATAATCAATAAATATATCCAAATTTGAGACATGTTGTTTTTAAATATATGCAAATTTGAGACATGTTGTTTTTAAAAAACTTTTTTCTAAATTGTTTGTTTAGAAATTGAAAATTCAACAATCATATAAAATGTTTAAAATGCAGTAGAACCTCCATCATTGGCCACCTCCCTACACTGACCACCTCCTTAATGACCTAATTTTCTTAGACCAGACATTCCCAGGCATTCACCAGACATGCGTATTGATATGGTAGGCCTAGTTCCTTTTGCTGACTACGGCTGTGTGGTCAGTTTACAGAGGTTCTATGGTAGTTGTAGTGTATAATACATAATCTACTCAATAAGTTTATTTAAAGTACAGTTAATTGACATGCATTAGCCATAATAATTATCCTTTTTAACCAAAAATTTATCAATATTTTTAAAAACAGATTCATTTTAAACATTAACTTAACTGATTCCTTTAAGTTGAAAACATATTTATGAAGCTTCAACTTTGTTTCAGAAATAGTTTTCGAAGTTTGCTTACATTTTCTACTTTAACTTCCATGTTTATATGTTAACCATGTAAAATATAAATTGAGCATTATTATTACCTTGACAGGATCTCATACATTTTTTAAGCTGCAACATTTATTTTAATACATTGTATTTTAGTTTATGTGTCCATCTTTTCCAAGGAGGCCATGAGCTCATTGAAAAGGAGTTTCATATCTTGCTCATCTTTATAAACTCTATGGCAATTATAACTAGTCATATACAGGTGTTTTGTAAAGGTTTGCTGCACTTAGGAGGCCTTTATCATTTTCTTTGGAAGATAATATGTGTCTGGGTGCTGGTGGTGACTTTCTCCTCTATTCCTCTCCCCTCTCTGCCTTCATTTTCTATAATCCAATAGGGAAAGATAACGGACATGGTGAGTATTTTAGTGCTTGAAGAGCAAAGGCTGATTGATATCAATATTCAGGTTGGGAGAAAGAGAAGTGGGTTCGAGATTAGGACTATTATTGAGAAGCCAGCTCCAGGGCTGAGGAATAAGAAGAAGAATGTGTACAAGTGGCAGTTAATTCCCTTTCCATTTATTTTTCTTCACGATCACTAGTGTTGTTACTCAAGTTCTCATCTTAGAAAGCCAGGGATGAGCGTATGTTTGTGAGGGGACAGTGGTCAGAGGCAGGTCCACAGAATGAGAGCAAAGATAGAAGAGGAACAGAGAAAATTCAAAGTTGTATCAGCTCATGAAGAGACACAATTAGTGTCTTTGACCATCTTGCTGCAAGGCTTGTTTCCAGAAATCCTCCTTGTGCAGACATGGTGATGGTGAACAAAAGATATGGGTTCATTAGTCTGGTTAATTAGTCTGGGTTCATTAATCTGGCTCATTAGTATGAGAAGTAATAATGAAATTAAATTGAGGGGAAACTGGAGAGTTAATAAACTCACAAGGCTGGGAGAGGTGGGGATTGAGGGTGGGGCAGGTGTGAAGGCAGATGCTCCCACGCGCATCCTGAAGGCCAGGCCAAGCTGGGATATGGTGTTCCTTAGAGCAGTTTCTACGAGGGTTACCATAGCAGGGAAGTTGCCATGATAGTAGCTTAACGCTTAATTTTAGAGATGAGGACATGCACGGAATGGAAGGGAAAAGGCAGGAGGTAGATAGGAAGGTCAACAGAAAAAAGGGAAAATAGGACCAGCACACACCACTGCCTCAGGGACTTTGCTGCCTGACAACAATATGCTCACTTCCTGGTGTAGTCCTGGGTGTCTTTTCTACTAAATTAAGGATAACAGAACTTAATTAGCTCAAATATTCTATGAGTTAATCAAATAAATTCACAGTTATAAATTGAACAGTTACAAAAGAACGAATGTGAAAAAGAAAAAGAAAATAAAATTCAAAGGAACAAATGTAACTATTGTCACCTTTTCCCTAGTAGCCTGACCCATAGATACATCAACAAAATGTAATATAGTATTAACATAAATATGGATGTTCTTATTAACACTAATATATCTCACTTAATATGTGAACATTTTCTTTATAGAAAGGAGAAACTCATTCTCTTGAGGATAATAAAGACAAAGAAATAATTAAGGAATATATCAAACTTTTAAAAAAATTGAGTCATTTCATCTAAAAATAGCAAAATTATAAAATAGTTTGGCTTGTATTTTATTTTTGAAGCAATAATTTAAAGTCCAAGGAGGCAAATAATAATTTGATGTAAAACATCCATTAAGTAACAAGAGCATCAATTTCATCAGCCCTTCCCCACTGAGTTTTCTGTAGGAATAATATTATGCATTTTAAGTTGCTCGAGTTTTTCTCTTGAGCAATGACTAAGCTGTGATTTTCTAGAAAGGGAAGGGTGTCTCCAATCGGAACAGACTAGGCTTTATGGTAAGATAGAGCAGCCATCTTAATTAAAATGTACAGTGCAGGGGCCAGGCTAATATTCTCTGTATGGTTTCAATTTTTTAATATATGTGCTGTGGAAGTGAGCACCTATGGAGTATATTGCAAGTACAAGTTGGATCTATCAGGTGTAGAACACAAATGTCTTAACACTGTAATTGGGTAAATGAGGTGAAGGCTATGTTAATTAGTAGGATGTAAGCACTTCAATTTGTATAAATAATGAACACATTGAATCCCATAATGGCATAAATGTATTCATGATCTATGTACAAATGACTTAATAAAAAATAACTAACTAAATAAATAAATAAATACAATGCAAAGCATCAGGGAGTGGCCAAGGAAGATGAAGGAACCTCATGTTGATGCAGGGTTCCCCAGCCTGGAGCTAGAAAGACTGCATTCATTTGCTAATATACTCATTCACTAATCAGCATTGAAAAGGTGACTTCTGAGGTGGCCAAGTATACTTTGCAAGACTCCCTATTTACCACACAGTATATAAACCTCTAGACAAAAGACCTGTGTAGGACTTCCCACTCAGGTCCCCGCCCCAGGGGCTCTGGTACCTTTCATTCCTTCTGTATTCCTTTATATCTAATAAATCCTATCTTATCACTGATCTGTGTGGTCTGTGGGTTCATTCTTTGAAACTCCTAGATCAAGGACCTACTTCAGAAAGAAATATCATCAACAATGTGTGATGCCCCTGGAAGGACACATGTAGACCCCATGGGAGTTGAACACAAGAATTGTCCCTGGAATGGAGCTGCTCAGCAGTGATCATGGGTTAGGAGGCTCCACCACGCAGAAGAGGGGTGAGGCACTGGGTGTACTAAGGACCCCACAGGCTCTCCAGGCTCCATGTGTGCCTACATCTAGCCTTGGGACCTCAGTACATGGAACATTATTATTAAATCCTGGCTCTGACTGGTGAGGCTTAAGATTGGTACTGAAGGTAATTGTTCTTGAGGCCACATCAGAAAAACACAAGAATAAGTGGTTTTAGAGAAAGAGTGGAAAATTTCTAGCAGAGGAGGAAAGACGGCAGATTGTTGGTCTCAAAATACCAATTTGTCCTCCACATAAACAGAAATCCAGAGCTTTTAAAAGGGAAGACTTATTGTCGTCCAATCACAGTTAATGATTCTTAAAGGTCCCATCTCTGCCCACCTAGCAGGCTAGCCAGGTTCTTGCCTCCAGGCACATCTTCTATAGAGTAAAGTTCAAAAGACATTGTGGCCTTCCTGACCATTACCAGAGGCAGGGATGCAGGTCTCAGTTTCCAAAAACAGGTTTAAAGAGACAGAAAACCTTGTACTTTTTTTTCAGGCTGTATCCTCTGTTACATATTCCCCACTCTCAATTTTATACTTCCATATCTATGGGAGGAGGGTGTCTACTCTATTAGAAGATGGCAGACTAGAAACAGCCTAACAGTCTCCTCTCACAGCCAGGATGGAAAGTAGCAAGTGGACATTTACCTTCAGATCAGTCATCTAAGAGAGCATTGAGAATCAATAGTCAGGCAACAGGAGGTTCTCAAAGACAAGGAGAGAGAAGAGACATGACACCCACTGTAGGATTGAAGGGTTACAGGGAAAGGGACAGAGAAAAGAACCCTGGGGCTCCACACCCTCCCCACAGTCATTGTCATAAGAGCTGTGGGAGGTACTCTTTACTATAGCAGGCCTCAGGACTAACATAGGGAGCTGACTGGAGACTGTGGAGAGAAGGCACAGTGGGGGCCCACTGGCTTGAGAACCCTAGGCACTACTGCTAGCTCCACTGTGAGATCTCAGACCCAGAATTCTGCCTTTCTCTGGGGGTCTGATCTATTGCTACTGCATCCCCATTGTCCTTGCTGAACCAGGGAAGGAGTGGAGATGCTGATCACTATTGTGAGTCCTTTGAACAGTATCTGTGAGTCCCTACAGCTGCCAGGGGAACTAGGTGGGATCAATGCTTAGGCCACCACAGATTAAAAACACTGCTGCCCAGAGATCTAACTGAGGCAGCTATCAAGTTGGCCTGGGCTAATGATCTCTGCTACCCTGGTTGTGACAGCACTCAAGCCCCTGCTGGCTAAAAAATGCACCATCTGCAGATTTGGGTGGGGCTACACTTTGACCAGAGTGGGCTGACAAACAGCACTTCCCATGGATCTGAGAGGGGCAGCACAGGTCCAGGCCAACAATCACCACTGCCAACAGAACTAAGTAGGGCAATAATTGATTCTACAGCATGGACTGCCAGTGAAACAATAGGAGAATGGTGAGACAGGAGACCCAGAGAGTAAGAATGTCCAGCACTCTCAGGGTATCCATCCCCTCCTTGATGGGTTAATACTCTGAAGTAGGTCAAACGTGCACTACAGAAGGATGTCTCCTTCTTTGTACTTTGCACTAAAAAGGAGCATCATCAGCAGAGGAGAATAGGTACACCATAAATGCTTATGTCTTGAGCTGAGAGAATGGGTTTCAGATGAGAAAGGACAAGCATAAAAATTCTTGCAATACTTAAAAAAGAAAAAAAAAGCTGTTTTGATAACTCCAAAGGATCACAATATGTTTCCAGAAACAGACCCTGACCTAAAGGAAATGTCAGATAAGGAATTCAGAGGATGGATAAAAAATAAGATGAATAGGATTGATGAAAAAGTTAGAAACTAACACAAGGAAACAAACAAAAATACTGGGATATGAATGAAATACTTTCTAAAGCGATAGATAGTATAAGAAAAGATATAATGTAACTTAAAAATTTGTAAGAGCCATTTAAGGAATTTCAAAATACAACAGGAAGTTTTAACAACAAATTAGACCAAGCAGAAAAATTATTATAGAGCTTGAAGACAAGGCTTTTGAATTAACCCAGTTAGTAAAAAATGTCAAAAAAAGAATAAAGAAGAATGAACAATCACTCAGAGAAATATGTTGTATGTAAAATGAGGTAACATAAAATCATAGGTATCTCTCCAGGAGAAGAAGAAATAGTAAAAAGCATGGAATAATTAAAGGAAACTTCTCTGATATTTAGATGTCCTGGTAAAAGATGGTCATTGAGCACCTGGAATACTTATGAAAATAGGACATCACCAACATCACCCATACACATAATCATCACTCTGGCCAAAGTCAGAATGAAGGAGAAAATCATATGAGCTGCAAGATGAAAGCAGTAAGTAACTTAAAAAGGAAAATGCATCAGACTAACAGCAGACTTCTCAGCTCAGCAGAAACCTCACAAGCCAAAAGGAAAAAAAAGGATGGGGGTCTTATTTTTAGTCTTCTTAAAAAGAATAACTGACAGCCAAGAATTTTATATCCTACAAAACTAAGTTCCATAAGAAAAGTATTTCCCAGACAAGCAAACACTAATGGAATTTTGTCACCAACAGACTTACCCTAATGGAAATGCTATAAGTACTTTATGCATAGAACAGAATAAACAATGCCCATCAGTGTAATTTAAATTTAAATTTAAAGCTGGAATTTAAAGCTCATGACACTTATGAATCAGTAGCCCAGGGAAAACCATACAGAGTACTATTCAATATAATACACAGAACATTATCTCTTATGTCAATACTAACATTTATTGTAAATGGTCTTAAATCTCCAATCAAAAGATACAGATTGGTTGAATGAATAATAAAAAAAAAATCCAAGTATATTATTTCTCTAAGAAACCCACATAACTTACAAGGTCTCTCATAAACTCAAGGTAAAGGAATAGAAAAGAACATTTCATGCAAACTAGGAACCAGAAGTGAGCAAAAGTTGCTATTCCCATAGAAACTACAATAGACATTAAATCAATAATGGTAAAAGAAAAAAAGACAAACACAATCCTTATGTAATGATAAAGGGAGAAAATCAACTAGAGGATATAAAAATTCTAAATATATGAGGACCTAATAAAGGAGCTCCCAGTTTCTTAAAACAAATTATACTAGATCTAAGCAAAGAAATAAACAGCAACATAATAATAGAGGGTAACTTCAGCACTCCCTGAATGAATCAGACAGATCATTGAGCCACAAAATCAACAAAGAAACATTAGACTTAACTAGAGGTCTAGAACAAATGGATCTAACACACATTGTAGAACATTCTACCCCAAACTATAGAGTGTGCATTCTCCTCATCAGCACATGGGACATTTTCCAAGATAGATCATATTTTAGGCCACAAAACCAATCCCAGAAAATTTAAAAAAATTCAATTTCATAGCATTTATCATCTTAGATGACAGTCAGTAAAACTATATATCAATTCCAAGAGAAATTCTCAAATCTACACAAAGTCATAGAAATTAAATGATCTGCTGCTGAACAATGCTTTGGTAAATGATAAATTTAAGGTGGAAATTAAAAGATTTTTCAGACCAAATTACAAAGAAGACATAAGTTTTAAAATCAATGCGATACAGCAAAAGCAGTTCTAAGAAAGTTCATAGTCTTAAATGCTTACATCAAAAAGATAGAAAGATCACAAATTAACAACCTAATACTACACTTCAAGGAGTTTGAAAAAGAACAAACCATATTCAGAGTCAAGAGAATAAAATAAATAACAAAGCTCAGAATAGAACTAAACAAAATGGAAACCAGAAAAGCAATACAAAAGGTTAATAAAGCAGAAAGTTTTTTCTTTGAAAAGATAAACAAAACAGACTACTAGGTAGGTGTGCCAGAAATTAAGGAAAATGGATTCAAATAAACTCAATTGTAATTAAAAACGAAGATATTCCAACAGATACTACAGAAACACAAAGTATCATTCGTGACTACTATGTAAACTTCTATGCACACATTAAAAACCTAAAGAACAGGGATAAATTCTTAGAAATACACAATATCCAGAACTTGAAACAAGAAGAAATAAATATCCTGAACAAAACAAAACAAAACAATAACTAATAGTGAGAATTAAGCAGTAATAAAAAAATCTTCTAACAAAAAATCCCCTGACCACATGGAGTCACAGTCTAATTTAACAGTGCTACAAAGAAGAATTGAAAGTTAATCTACTGAAATTGTTCCATTACATGAAGAAGGAGGGAATCCCCTAACTCATTCTGCA